ACAATTACATAAGGAACATTATGTTTACTAGACTCCCCCCATCACCAAGTTCCCCCCACAAAGCCCATTGCAGTCACTGTCCATCAGTGTATATCTCATTGTATTTTTAATTTACACTTTCCAGATTACTAATGAAGCTAAATGTCTTTTCATATGTTTTTGGACCATTTGTGCTTGTTCTTTTGCAAAATTCCTTTTCTCTTGCTCACTTTTCTATTGATCTCTAGACTTTTTATGGATCTATATCTGTTCTTTATATATTCTGGATTCTAGTATTTGGTGGATTATATATGTTGCAATTATACATTTCTAGGATGATGCTTATTTTTGTTTTTTGTTTTGTTTTACTCTATTATCGCTTTTATTTTTCTATGATCTCTTTTAAAGAAGTTCTAATTTTAAAGTGATTAAAGTTATCAATCTTTTCCTTTATAGTGAGTGCTTTTTCTTGTTTAAGAAATAATTCCCTATCCAGAATTTGTTCACATATTTTCCTATATTTTTTCCTAAAATTTTATATCACACATTACTGAATGTAAGTTGCTATTGACTGTAAAAAACGTCACCGTTTCAGAAATGGTAAAATGTGAAAAAGAGTGTACCCTCAAAGCTATGAAAAATGCAATTTTGTTGTTCTTTTATAGGTCTTTAATCCCACTAAAGCTGATTTGGGGATATGGTGTAGAGTGGAGTCCAAATTCATTTTTTGCATGTGGTTAATCAACTGCCTCCTCACCATTTATTGAAAAGTCCATCTGAGTTGCCACCTCTCTGTATACATCAAGTATGTATGTATGTTGGGACTGTTTCTGGGCTCTGTTTTGTTTGACTTGTCTATTTGTCCATGTCTGTACTGATACCACCCTCACTGATTGTTACAGATTTTCTACATAGGAGGGTAATTCCTCCTTCTAAGTTCTTCAAGAGTCTCAAGATTTTTTAAGAATCTTCAAGAGTTGTTTGTGATTTTGAATGGAAATGCAATGAATCTATAGATCAGTTTGTGGGTGTGATATAATAAGTCCTAAGAAATACATAGTTGGTCATATGAATGACCAACTGTGTATTTCCAAGGTGTATTTGGTCTTCATCCACAGTTCCTGAAAACACTGCAGTCTAAAGGTGAAATGGGTGTTTTGTCATGTTAATAAGAGACTTCTGGACCCCACCCAAGGGCAGGGGCTGGAAGCTGAATCAGCCAATGGCCAGTGAGTTAGTCAGTCATGACTATGCAATAAAGCCCTCATGAGCTTCTATGCTTGGGGAACCAGACCTCCTCCTTGTGCCACCAAGCCAGGCCCCAAGCTCCACGAGGATAGAAGCTCCTTTATTTGAGACCTTGCCTTATGTCTGTCTTCATCGCTGATAACTTGTATCCTTCATGGTATCCTTTATTAAACTGATAAATGTAAGTGTTTTCCTGAGTATTGTGAGCCACTCTAGCAAATTAATCGAACCCAAGGGGGTGGTCCTGGGAACCTCCAATCTGTAGCTGGGAGGTCAGAAACAAAGGTTAACTGCCTGGGGTTTGCAACTGGTGTCTGGAATGGGAGATGGAGGGTAGTCTTGTAGGACAGAGTCCTCAACCCGGGGAATCTGGTGGTGTCTCCAGGCGGATAGCATCAGAATTGAGTTCTCCAACATCCTGCTAGTGTTGTATAACAGTATAATACTGTTACTGTTGTTACATGCAGGAAAACACACCCGTAAAATTTTTATGAGATTGGGTTTTTATTCCCATAAGTATCATATTTCTCTAATTAGTTCATATCCCTTCAATGTAGTTTTATAATTCTCTTTATAAGTCTTGTACAAATTTCGTTAGATTCACTCCTAAGTACTTCAAGCTGTGTCCTCCTCCACCCAGTTCATACTCACCAACTGGGCCACTCCTGGGTTCAAAAGTAGTCCTTCCTCGTTAAGTGTTTGTAGTGGGTACATAATAACTAACCAGCTCAAGGGGTCCATCCAGAGGTGAGCTAATTAATTAATAACTGCCTAGCACTCTAAACTTGTAGAGCATTTATTTTATAAACTCTGGAGATCAGTACTTAATGACAAAAGACTCTATTAGCAAAAACACTGAAACTCACATTCTAACAAGAAAATAACCTACATAGCCATCCACTTTCACCCCAACATTGGAAGAAACTTGTTTAGCATTAGTAAGCTGTCTAGAGAGAGACAAAGGAGAGAGAGAAAAAAGAAAAACATTTTGTGTTGCTGAGAAAATTAATGTAGTGAAGAGCTTTCGTGAGGGGGAAAATGGGGAGGGGGTCGAAAGGAAGGAACACACACATCACCAAGGATCACTGTGTAGAACTGACCCCCCACACTGAGGAGGCTCAGAGGATGGTTTCTGAGCCTTCTCGAAGAGTGTAAGGAGACCAGGCATGCTCTACACACACTTTAACAGTTTGTGTTAGTCCAGACATTCAATTCAAATTAGTGGCCATCCTGTAAAGAAAGAAACCAAAAGCTACCGGGACAAGCAAAGTGGAAGCATTTTGTTAATGTTCACGTATGGAAAGTTTTCCAGACTGGTCTCAGAATCATTGCTGAACGGCGTAACCGTGAACTGCTGAGGGCTTTCCAACAAGCTTGACCTGTCAGCACTTGATCACTGAAGATAAGAAAGTCCATCTTCCGATGACTTTGTTCTCAGGACTAAGAATTATAATCACTGATCTAAAAGAATGTAAATAAACCTTGGAGGTAGGTGAATCATGTGTGACTGCTTAGAAGACCTTTTATGCTTCTTCTATTTCCTCTTGCTCGTCCGACCCATCTTAAAATACCTTCTATTCCACTTAGGAGGCTTTATTACAAAAGAAGCTGGGTGGCACATGCTGTTGAAAACTACCTGTTCTCTGCAGCTTGTTAGGAAAGTTGTAAGACATGTACATTTTCTCACAAGTGATGAAGGTAAACTTACAAAGCCTGCAGACACATAATAACATTTTAAAAAATACAGAGATGTATTCATTTGTTCATTTTCATTTGTTCTTCATTTATTTTAGTTTTTCTTGTGAACTAAAGATACACACAAACACCCACATACCCATCACCCAAGTCAGGAAATAGCACATTACCCTACCCAAGACACTCCACCTGACCCTCTCAATCTACACTTATCTCCCTCTCAAAGAAAATCCTATCCTGAAATTTCTGTTATTCACTTCCTGTTTTTCTTTACAGTTTTTATCACCTATGCTTTTATCCTTAAACAATGCACTGTTTAGAGTTGCACATTTCTTGAATACAATAAATAGAATCATACTGTAATCTTTTATTGCTTCTTTGCTCAACATTTTATTTTTGAGATTCATCATGTTGATGGACTTGTATAGCATTTCATTGTCTGATTATAAAATTTAATATCTATTCAACCTTTGATAAACATTTGAATGCTTGCTCTTTGCAAATATGAGTAATGCTGCCATAAGGATTCTTGTATGTGTCTGAATATGCTTGGTGCAAGAATTTGTTGAGGGCATACATATCTAACATTAGAATTGCTGGGTCTTCTTGTATGTGCACATTCAACTTTCTAGGTACTCCCATCCTGTTTCCTAAAGTAGCTAACACATCTGAATTCCAACCAGCAGTGGGTCTGAGTTCCAGTTGGTCATCCTATGCCTTTGTCTACACTTGGCATCAAACAACTTCAAAATTTTAGCCATTGTGTGTACTGGTATCTCATTGTATTTTTTTTTTTTGGTATCATTAATCTACAATTACATAAGGAACATTATGTTTACTAGACTCCCCCCATCACCAAGTTCCCCCCACAAAGCCCATTGCAGTCACTGTCCATCAGTGTATATCTCATTGTATTTTTAATTTACACTTTCCAGATTACTAATGAAGCTAAATGTCTTTTCATATGTTTTTGGACCATTTGTGCTTGTTCTTTTGCAAAATTCCTTTTCTCTTGCTCACTTTTCTATTGATCTCTAGACTTTTTATGGATCTATATCTGTTCTTTATATATTCTGGATTCTAGTATTTGGTGGATTATATATGTTGCAATTATACATTTCTAGGATGATGCTTATTTTTGTTTTTTGTTTTGTTTTACTCTATTATCGCTTTTATTTTTCTATGATCTCTTTTAAAGAAGTTCTAATTTTAAAGTGATTAAAGTTATCAATCTTTTCCTTTATAGTGAGTGCTTTTTCTTGTTTAAGAAATAATTCCCTATCCAGAATTTGTTCACATATTTTCCTATATTTTTTCCTAAAATTTTATATCACACATTACTGAATGTAAGTTGCTATTGACTGTAAAAAACGTCACCGTTTCAGAAATGGTAAAATGTGAAAAAGAGTGTACCCTCAAAGCTATGAAAAATGCAATTTTGTTGTTCTTTTATAGGTCTTTAATCCCACTAAAGCTGATTTGGGGATATGGTGTAGAGTGGAGTCCAAATTCATTTTTTGCATGTGGTTAATCAACTGCCTCCTCACCATTTATTGAAAAGTCCATCTGAGTTGCCACCTCTCTGTATACATCAAGTATGTATGTATGTTGGGACTGTTTCTGGGCTCTGTTTTGTTTGACTTGTCTATTTGTCCATGTCTGTACTGATACCACCCTCACTGATTGTTACAGATTTTCTACATAGGAGGGTAATTCCTCCTTCTAAGTTCTTCAAGAGTCTCAAGATTTTTTAAGAATCTTCAAGAGTTGTTTGTGATTTTGAATGGAAATGCAATGAATCTATAGATCAGTTTGTGGGTGTGATATAATAAGTCCTAAGAAATACATAGTTGGTCATATGAATGACCAACTGTGTATTTCCAAGGTGTATTTGGTCTTCATCCACAGTTCCTGAAAACACTGCAGTCTAAAGGTGAAATGGGTGTTTTGTCATGTTAATAAGAGACTTCTGGACCCCACCCAAGGGCAGGGGCTGGAAGCTGAATCAGCCAATGGCCAGTGAGTTAGTCAGTCATGACTATGCAATAAAGCCCTCATGAGCTTCTATGCTTGGGGAACCAGACCTCCTCCTTGTGCCACCAAGCCAGGCCCCAAGCTCCACGAGGATAGAAGCTCCTTTATTTGAGACCTTGCCTTATGTCTGTCTTCATCGCTGATAACTTGTATCCTTCATGGTATCCTTTATTAAACTGATAAATGTAAGTGTTTTCCTGAGTATTGTGAGCCACTCTAGCAAATTAATCGAACCCAAGGGGGTGGTCCTGGGAACCTCCAATCTGTAGCTGGGAGGTCAGAAACAAAGGTTAACTGCCTGGGGTTTGCAACTGGTGTCTGGAATGGGAGATGGAGGGTAGTCTTGTAGGACAGAGTCCTCAACCCGGGGAATCTGGTGGTGTCTCCAGGCGGATAGCATCAGAATTGAGTTCTCCAACATCCTGCTAGTGTTGTATAACAGTATAATACTGTTACTGTTGTTACATGCAGGAAAACACACCCGTAAAATTTTTATGAGATTGGGTTTTTATTCCCATAAGTATCATATTTCTCTAATTAGTTCATATCCCTTCAATGTAGTTTTATAATTCTCTTTATAAGTCTTGTACAAATTTCGTTAGATTCACTCCTAAGTACTTTGTTTTTTGATACTGTAGGGGAAGAAAAAGTTTTCCTTGACCCTCTTAGAGTCCCAGGCTGGGTCTGAAAATTAAACTGACAAGACAGATTAATCGGAGAAAAGCATACAAATGTATTGAAGTCTTGCATGACTTGGGAGCCTTCATAAAGAAATGACAATCTGAAGAAAACAGTTAGACCTGTGTATATTTATACTAGATTTGATAAAGTGTGGGCAGTCGTATAGAAAAATAATAGGTTAAGGGATATGAGGTAATTACAGTAAACAGTATAAATGGCATCTCTCAAAAATTTTCATTTTCACTTATTACTGATATATCTAAATGCGAATTATTTTTGTACATTAACTTTTGTGCCCAGAAAGTGCCAAACTCTCATACTCATCTCAATAGGTTATGTACATATGTACTCTTTTCAATTTCTGCCATATAATGTGTCATTGTGCTTTCTTACTTTCTTATCTGTAGATGTCTTATTTCATTTTCTTGCCCTACCTTAGGTCCTCTAGTACGATACTGAACAGAAGTGGAGATGACAGCACACTTACCTTGTACCCCATTTTAAAATGAATGGTAACTTAATGATGTTTGCTGTAGATTTTTGTAAATACCTTTTATCAAATTAAATATTCCCAGTTTACTATGAATCTCTTCTGGATGGCTATTGAATTTTATCAAAGGCTTTTTCTGCATCTACTGAGATCATCATGATTTTTCTCCTTTAATCTTTTAATATGGAAAATTACATTATTTGATTTTCTCATCTGAAACTTGGGTAAACCAATTTGGATTCAAATTGCTGAAATTTGCTTAGGACTTTTGTGTCTATATTTATGACTGAGATTGATTATGAGTCTATATTTATGAGGAAACTTCTGTTCCTCATACTTTCCTAGTCAGATTTTGGTATAAGGTTATGCTAGCTTCAAAATGAGTTAAGAAATAAGCTCTCTTTTTCTATACTCTAGCATAGTCTGTGTGAGATTGGGATTATTTATTCCCTGAGTGTTTGGTAGAACTCACTGACAAAATTAGTTTAGCCTGGGTTTTATGGAAAATGTTTAACAATAGATTCAAGTTATTAAATAGTTATGTGTCTATGCTGGTTTTCTATTTTAGTTTTATAAACTTATATTTCTCAAAATATTTCACTTCATCTAAAATTTTGAATGAATTGGCATAAAAATGTTAACAATGCTATTTTATCTGTAATTTCTACATCATGTGATTATAGCTTTTTCTTTATTTCTCATGATATTTGTTATGCCTTCTCTGATCTTCATCATTTTTCACTAGAGGTTCGTGAAATTTATTAGTGTCTCACAAATCCAGTGTTTGGCTTAATTGGTCCTTTCTGTTGTGTGTTTTCAATTTTATTATTTTATTATTTTATCTGTATTATTTCCTTTCTATTTTATTTGACTTAATTTTGCTGTTCTTTTTCTAACTCTAAGCTTTCAAGCTACTTTCTCTCCTAACATAATGTTTAGGTATATGGTTTCCACTTAACTACTTGCTAGTTTTCTCTCTCAAGCTTCAACATAGAATATCAAATATTTGATACATAACATATAGATATTGTCAAATTTCCATTATGATCTTTTCTTTGACCCAAAGAAAAGAGTTTCCAAACAAATTCTAATTATCTTCTTTTTTTAAAAAAGATTCTTGTCTTAATGAGAATATGGTCTGTATGATACAGAATTTTCAAAATTTGTGGAACCTTGTCCTACGGCTCAATCTATGATTAACTTCAGTGAAGTTTCTGGAGGCTGGAAAACAACTGATATGTTTTTCTCAATCTGTGATTTTGCTTTAGGGCATCACTTTTATTGGGTTCTAGTTTAAACTCCCCACTTAGACCAGACACTAGGCTTTCATTTCTGCCCCCAAAACTCCTGAGGCTGCAAAAATAAATACGCAAATTCACTAGATCCTGCAAATACCAAGCTGGCAGAAGCTGCCTTGGGCTCTGCTCACTTTCTGGGTTCTGACCTTGACCTTGTCTTAGTGCTATTTCTTAACTTCTTGGAGTTTATAGGTGCCTTCTACAATATATTTTTAGTATTTTACCCAGTATTTTTGTTGTTACTTTAAGTGGAAGAGTCCACACCCCTAGCTGAGTGTATTACTAGAAATGGAAATCCTCACTTATTTTTCATCAGTATTTATTGGGCACTTACTGTAATTGTAATCTGTACAAGGTGGACTCAGCATTAGAAGAGACACATTGACTGGGGTAGAGGCAACTACCAGAAGGTGGTGGGAATCAGAGGTTAAAAATACAGCTTGGGAGTCAAGCAGGCCTGGGGATGAAACCCAGGATCACCGCTGACTAGCTGAGACATGAGGCAAGTCACTCTCTCTGTGCCTCAATTCCTTCATTAATAAATTGGTGTTCATGATAGCAGGTACCTATAGATTTGTAGTTACAATTACTAGAAGCTGAGCATATAGCAGTGGCTCAGAAAATGCTAGTTTTTGACCTGTGGAAGCATTTCAATCTAAAATGGAACTGGAGGATATGAGAAGAATGTCACACATGCACTCTTAGAGGAAGGGAATTTAAGAACTGATACTGATTTCCTGTAAATGCCTGATTTTACAGAAGACTGGGACTTATCTTCTGACCAATGAACTTCCGCCAAGAATCCCTCCCATGCCCAATCAAGAACTCACTGTTTAGACTGGCTGGACTTCCCCCTCTTTGTATTTGCCCATAATTCAGCCCTTCCCAAACCCTCAACCAGCTCACCTGTAGCTGGCTACCGCACACATTTCCCCAACTGCAATTCCTCTGCTATTCCGGAATAAACTCAATTTCTGGTAATTAGAGCTTATCTCAGTTTACCTCTTTATTTAGGTTGACAGTCCTCACAGAAGAGATGCAAAAGCAGGGAACAACAAAGTTATTTCTCTAAGATTCAATCACCTCCTAGGAGCTGCCAGCGTAAGACTTGGCACCACCTTCCTTCCTACTGCAGGCCAGGGAGAAACTCAATTCTTATTCTAGGGATTTCCTCCAAGAGACCCCTTCTCCCTCCTGACTTAGACTGGCTTCTCAATGAGTTTTGAGTGTTGGAAATTGAAGAGTTGTAAATTAAAAAGAAGAGGAAATGTCATGCAGGCTACTTCTGCTTTCCTAAAGTTCCTTGAGACAAGCAGAAAGGCTGAGTGCATTCTTATGAGGGGGAAAAGACAGGGCAGAAAAATATAAGTTAATGTTTTAAAAGTATCCTGTTGCAAAATGAACAGCTAAAGCATACCAGCTAGAAGGAGCCAAAAAAGAAAAAGAGCACCTGGATGCCAGGCAGCTGAGGTCTGCCTCCAGTGGATGGCGAGAGACAGGGGGAGGGCCTGATTGCTGGAGGGGGGAGGTGGTGCAACTGCGGAGACCCCTGAAGGTGTTTAACCAGGTTCTAGCTTTAGAGGGTAGAAACGAAAGGAACTGATAGGCATGAAATGCCGAGTAGAGGGAAATGAGACTGCGCCCTCTGGGGTTTCTGACGAGGGTGACTAAATGGATGATGGTGCAGTTAACCAAGAAAGGAGATGTGGGAGGAGCTGGTTTGAAGAAGCCAACATGATAGGCCTGAATGTGATGTCACGTGGGCCCCGCCGGGGACGTGTCTAAAGCCACTGAGCACAGGCATGTGGTTCTCAAGAGTTCTGGCTCAGGAGAGAAGGGAGTTTCAAGAAGGAAACTGAGCAGTAGCATCGTACCCTACAGAGCTGGGGGAGAGAACCTGAGAGAGATCCTCTGTATTTGGCATCCTGAAGGTCAAGCCGACTCTAGCCTGAGCCGCTTCAGGGTTGAGGAGCAGCAGACACAAGACTGTGAGGAAGTGAAAAAGCAGAGACTCCTCTTTCCAGGTAGCTTGGCTGGGGCCTGAAGATGTGACATCCTGAGGGAATAAAGGAACAGAAAAACTGCTTTTCCTTCCCTCCCCTCTTCCTCCTTCTTAAGTGGTGGGAGAAGCACAAGCCTGCTTAAAACTAAGGGATGAATCCAGAGCTGACGAAGAGGGACGTTTAGTGGAGTGAGGTTGCCTCCATGCATTTGGAAGGTGGTGGCGTCGGAGGTGAAGGAGCTGCTTTCCGGTGACCTTTCAGTGGAGTAGATGGGAATTCACTGGCAACCCACGTGCTTCTTAGGTGTCAGGGGAGGGAAATGAAGGGATTATCATGCAAAAAAAATTTAATGAGTCCCTGCCTTACTTAAGTGGTGGTGTAAATTAGGGAGACACCAGAGAATGAGGAAATATTAGAAATGGGTACCAATCCTTCAGGGTGAGGTATGAATATAAGGTTGTTTGGAGAAAGGGAAGGGATGTCTAGGGCTTCCTGAATGATGAAAAGAAGGAAAGAAGTTTGGCAGAGTATTTCCCTCCCAAGGCAGAGGCAGTGAAAATAGCCTGAGAGAAACAGGCTATGCGGTCACAACAGAAGAAAGAGAGGAAACAGTAGCAGTATGTTGCAGACACTTCACGGGTGATCATGTGCAATCCCCAGAACAAACCTGTGCTAAAGTCATTACTGTTTCCATTTGGGTGATACAGACACTGAGGATCCAGTTCTTTTCTCACTTCTATTCCTCTTCTCCATAGCGGAGAAAAGTGCTTTGAAATATGGAGGGGTAATTGCAGACCTTGTCTTTAAAAATTTTTATTTCTCTTGTGAAGCCAGATTGAAAGGCATAGAAAAGAGGAAAATTCCTAGTGTGCTTGGGCCAGAGAGCCTACCCTTTCTTTGTAGAACCTAAAGTTTGGCTGAATGCTAGAGAAACGCCGAAGGAACTTGGGTGAGGAAGTGGTTGCCCTGTTCCTTTGTAGAACCAGAAGGGGTGGTGGGGGGTGAGGGGGCTGTGATTGGGAGCCAGTTTCCTGGGTCCCAGCCCGGTGTAGTCACACCACACACCAACTGCGCTGTGGCTGGGTTCATCGCAGGACATTTACACAAATGGCTATTTTTTAATGTCCTCAATGTTATTTACATGATCATCCAGAGTGCATACTGAGAAGTTAACAGGCATTTGGAAGTGACACATGCACTTCCATTCATAACTTTAAATAGAATAGGTGGCAAAAAGATAAAAACCAGTGTGCAACGGTGGTGCACACACTGACAATCCGCTTCTTAAAAGCTGTATTTTTAAAAGGAAATGGGGACGTGGAAAGAGAGGAAAGTAGCCAAACAGACACAGTACTGGTGACCAAAAGTGGATTATAAAACATTCATGCATACAACTTTTTTGCCCTTCAATATTTGTTTATGGCCATAGGTTCTAAGTTCCACGTGACGCGCCGCAGGGTTGCCACGGGAACCCGCAGAAAGTTTTTTTTTTTTTAAGAAACGTAACTCAAGGTCTGCAGCAAGTACCACAGAGGCCAGGCGACGGCCGCGGCCCGGTGGGTTGGCGCGGGAGCCGCGGCCCTGGAGGCGGTGGCGGAGCGAGGCGTCACGTGGCCGGGGAGGGGCTTGTGCGCTGCCCGCCCGCAGCTCGGCCGCCGCCGCCGCCGCCGCCGCGTCCCATTCATGAGGGCCGCCCGGCTCAGCTGCGGCCCAGGCAGCTCCCGAGGCAGCGGCGGCGGCGGCTGCGGTGGGCTCCCGGGCTCCGCGCGCCTCGCCGGCCGGCCCCACCCCCTCGGCCGCCCGCGAACCCGCCGTTCAGCCGCCGCCTCCCTTCGGCAGCCCGCGGGCGCCGGCGCGGGTTCAGAGCGGAGCCGCAGGTAAGTGGGTACTGGGCCGGGGTCCTCGCGCCCCCGCGGCAGGCGCCGCATGTCCGAGCCCCCGGGAGGCGGGGTCTCCAGTCAGCGCGGGCCGAGCCACCCCTGCCTGCGCCCCCGCGCGCGCCACTGCGCGTGGGCGGGCTCGAGCCGAGAGGGCGAACCTGAGGGGGCGTCGTGCGGAGTCCGAGAGATGCGGCGGCTCCCGGCGCTTCCCGAGCCGATGGGCCCCTCAGGCCCCGCTCACCGGGCTTCGGCGTGGAGGCGCGAGCTGAGGCCGGGGCGGCGAGCGCAGCGGCGCCGGAGGCCGCAGCTCCAGCCCGCCGCCGGCCCTGGGGGAGGGGGCGCCCGAGGCACGTGATCCGGGGCCGCGCGGCGCCGGCCGCTTCTCCTCGCTCGGGCGAAACCGGCGCCGCCGCCTCAGGTGTAGACCGGTCCTGCATGAGTAGTTTCTCTCTCCTCAAAGCCCCTCTTCGCAAATCGTAGGGCCCAGCGTGTTAAGGTTACGGTGCTTACCGACGGCTTCTCTCAACTTTTAGCCCCGGCGGGTCACCGTTCTCTCCCCTCGTCCGAATGGACTGTTCCCATTGAAAATTTAGGATGACATTTTGAAGGCTTATTTACTAAAAATAGGACCAGAAGTCACTCTGCCTTTCAGAAAGTGCTGGAACTCTGAATTTTTGAAAATGCTCTCTGAAGGATTACTTAACGAGCCGCTAGACTGATTTCAAATACACATTTGAGGATCGTTTTTCCATGCCTTTATTTATGTTTATAACTGACAAAGAGCCTCCTGCTTTGATGTCAAGGCAGGCAGGCCCTGTTGAAGCTCTTTGCCAGGAGAGATGCTGGGTGTTAACTGTTTGTTAAAACTTGGCTTGGCTAGTTCGCAATGCTCTGATAATGCGAGGTCAGTTTTGAAACATACTTTGAAATAGTCACAAATTATTTAGTGGCCCAAAATGGTTTAATGTGGTGATGGTCCGATCTTGATGATTTTGACTGGCTAGAGAATGTAAAGTGTGGCAGGTGCTGCAGAGCCCCTACCTAGGTACGGGGGAATGACTCGGTGGCGTGGGCCAGCTCCCCAGCGCGGGGTCCCCACTTTCCCTGAAGGGCCGTCGGCCTCAGGCGGTACCCAGCCAGGGTATAGGTAGCAACGGGCCAAGGCCACGTGTGAAAGAGCCTTGGACAGTGTGGCTAGCTTCTGCCCTCCAACTAAACGTGCAGTTGATCGTGGTATTTCACACCAAAGTCTCTCCATGCCCTGGTGTTGGTAGAGGTGGCCGTAAAATGTTAGAAACGAAACGGGTTAGGTTCTGTTTTGTTATTTGATGGCACAGTTGAGAACCAACAGGGAAGCTTCGTGTTTAAGAGGAAATAGGAGCCTTTGAAAACCATTGAACTGTCTGGTAAAGCCACTGGTTAAGGAGCAAATAGAGTCAGCTGGCGCTTTGTGAATTGCTACCAGAATGTAGCAGTAAGGATACTCACCACCCTGTATTGTAATTTTTGTTTACTGACTGAACTGTCTTTTGCACAATACTGAGGGTCTTTGAAGGCCACACTCTGGTAGCCTGCCTGGTACCAGATGCAGTCTACTGAATAAAGGTAGGAAGCAGCAGGCAGCTGTCCTTACCAGTGACCCGTGAGCTGGTGTCACTGCCTCAGTGAGTTCACTCAGCTTTCCTGAATTGTGAGCTTTCGGTGAATAATCTTGGTGATCCCACACATTAGAGGTGGTAAAAGGTTGAACTAAGCTGATGAGCATTGCACTGAACGTTTTGCAATGTTTAGTTTAAATATAGCTTTGTTTTCTGTGTCAACATCTATTTCCTCTGAGTATGCTTCTATGTATACATATTTCCTCGTGTAGCTTAGCTGGAAGCTTTGTCTTAGGAGGTTCAGCTACCTCTCTTGGGTGCTTAGCAACCTGTCTCGAAGTTTTTCTTTTAAGTCTGACCTAAATCAGTCCTCCTTCATTTAAGTCCTTTACCTTTAGCTCCGACCCCAGTGGCTGTCACTGTGTATGGGTTTGTGCGTGTGTACATATTGACCATCAATCTCTAGGCAGTGGTTTGGGACCTTTATTTTGAAAGGTTTTTATCTGTTTTTTTCCCTTCATTTTTATAAGTAATACTTCTGGCTGAGCCCCAGTTTTCTGACCTATCATTTACCTTCTTCATGATGAAACAACTCACAAGTCGGTAGGCAGAGCCTCCAGTTGTCAAAATCCTATATAAAAAGTATGTCTTACTAAGATTTTGAAGATAACTTATTGCAGGCTGGAGCAGCAAGCTTTATGGCTCTATCAGAAGACATTTGAATAAGAAGTGTTCTTGGTGACTTTGCTAGCCATTAGCTGTGCTTTTTGGAATCCACCTTGCCTATCGTC